TCAAATTTATAATACATCCAGACATTATAAGAGCATGGTACTTAATGTAAAGTTAAACAGGGTTTTCTTTTTAAAAATCTAAACCAAATTGCAATTATATGAGCAAAAGTTGATCGTAAGATTTAACCCTGGTTAGATTAAAAAAAAAGAATCAATGGGTTCATGATGGTGACATTAAATATCTAACATCTTGAAATGGTCCTGCCTAATTATTGGTGAAGAGTTGAAAATGTGTTAATAATGAAGCACATTCATAAGAATTTTACTGTTTATTGTCACAACCCACAACGAAAAAGGGGTGAGCAAGCAGAACCAATGATGCCTGACCCTGTAGTAATGCAGTTATTGATCCCCAACAAAGAACTCAAGAGAAATGGCCCATTTCTGTTGACCTTTGGATGTATTGCTTGGCTAATGCTTGAAGTGGAACAAATTGTGAGTTCAGTTTCTGAATAAAAGCAAAAGAAGCGAGGAACACCTAGGTTGTGACATTGAAGGATAGGAGTAGGAAATGGTCTTAGAAGAGTACAAGGGCTGTATTCCATTAGGTACATGTAGAAGGGTAAAATATTTCATTAAATGCTCAACTGCCTAAAATACCTAACTTGTGCTATTGGCTTTTGTGGGGAGGGGGAGTCAAGAACCGAGAGGAGGGAGACCGTCGAAGTATGAAAGCAAGCTGCTTCTAAATAGATCAAAGTGTTCTGAGAAAAGTGAGATGGTACAATCCATAAACCAGAGAAGTAGATTTGGGACTCAGATATGGAAGAATTTCTTCTTGTTGGGAGTGGTTATACTTACATAGATAAATAAACACACATACATACAAACATATGCACACAGAGGGTGAAGAAGAAAGTATAAGAAACTTTGTTTTACAAGTTTCAAGTTTCCTCTACTTATTCTTGGTGACTAGGGTCCCCAAGCCCTCTATAACATAAATGGAGAATCTCCAAAGCACTTCAATGACTACACAGATAGAGATCAGAGTTGTTCTAATTTTAGATTATAAACTAATTCTAATTTTAATCTTACATCACAATTCTAAAATATTGAGGTAGAAAATCACATCATGTTCCTAAGGTAAAACAAGTCAAATCAACAAGCGTTTATTCAGTACTTACTATATGCCAGAACTAGATTCTGATTTAAAAAAAAAAACTATATTCAAGATTATTTTACACTATACCTAACTCATTTTGATGGAAGTAGAGAAGCAGAACAAGCATGACTTTAAGTAGCATTTAGGCAAAATAAAGAATTACTATAAAGCACATACCAAAGAGAACAGTTGCTGCAACCATCCTTCTTATAATGGACAGTCACAAGAATTGGCTGAGTATTATTATTGAGATTATGGTATATTGAAAGGAATGAAATCATTCACAAACTGTGTCACTGGGTAAATTCCTAGTATTTCAGTCAGCCTCTTATCACATTCTTCACCACTTTGTGCCTTCTATACATACAGAAAGTGAGGAAACATCTGCTTAATGAATGTCCAGATGTCTTTGAATTTGGAATTCATATTAGCATAAATTGGGAAGATTTATGTAGGAATTCTTTGTAACTATTGCATGTACCAAACACATTTATTTCTATAATAGGCTTTTTGCATGCTATCTGCCACCTGGCCTCAATGTAATTTTTTTGCTGATTTCTGTGGCTTCATTGCTGCAGCCCCTTTTATAGTTGAGAGGCATCCCAAGACATTTCCAAAGCAGGGCATTTGAGATTGTAGACCTGATGGGCCTGTAATTACTCAATGAACAAAAAAGAACATTTTCAAAAGAAAGATTGTGTGACTTCAATGTGGCAACTTGGAGGCCAAACTTGAGTTTTTTGGGACTCTTAAAATGTACCTTCCTGTAACAATATTATTGTTACATTGATTCACCCAGGGCTTAGCACAGTGTCTCCCATGGTAGGTGCTTAAGAAATGTTTATTGACTAACTAATTGACTACTGTCATTGTACTCCACAAATAAATCTTTCTGTTTATCTCACAACCCCTAGATGTTTTATTTGACCAAAAATAAATCAGTTTTAAAAAAGAGGTGTAGTATAGGATTATAGAGACTGTGTTGCTGAATGGGTTCTGTTACTTTTATAGGGAAAATAGGATCATAGAAAATTCTAAATGCCTTATTTCAGAGGCTGCCATGTGAAGAATGGATGGGACATCTGCTTGTCTCTAGAGAGTAGAAGGTTAAAGAAAAGCAAGTTAGGATTCATGTAAGTGGAAACTTTCTAACAGTTAGAGCCTGCCCAGAGGTCCAGGTTTGCTGTTTCCCATCTCCTTCAGAGCTGTCATTAACAGGGGTGATTATTTCTCCCAAATCCCACTCATTTTCCTCATTTTTTGCCTTTTGTTGAGTAGATGTAAACTATTCCAGCTCCACCCCTGGTAGTTTAGTTTCTAGGACTACTGTTCTTCAAAGCTCTGCCTCCTGAAACTCTATTCCCTGCTCCCTGGTAGCTCAACATTGCCTGTCTCCCATGTTTTGCTGATGTCTGCAATTCTCCCATTGACCAAAGAATGGCATCCTTTTTCTCCAGAGGATCAATGTTCTTGCCACTGGACTGTATGGAATGACCACTGGAGCTACCTCTCACTTTACCCAAATGTGTTAATCACACCTCAAATTCAATCATTAGGCCAGAGTACTCCTATTACTTTGAAAATATTTTGCATGGATCTCAGACCAAAGTTCTCATAAAGCTATGGGAAACTCCTTTCTTATTTTGTGTCTCATCTTCAACCCCATACAAAGTTATGGTAAATCAGTGCTATTTGTATTCTCTTGCTGACAGTACCTTCTATGGGATTTCTGGGCCAGTGTATTTCCCAGTCACCCTGGCATTCTTTTTAGAGTTAAGACAAAGGAATACCCTCATTTTCTTCCCAGTTTTCCCTCTTTCCTTTATGTTCCTCTGGGGCATTTGGGATGGGTAATTCAAATTACCTCCTGGTGCTTCATGGAAAAGTCCTAAAAGGGGGAGCCAGCTGCTCCTGTTGAAGACACTGTTCCAAGGGAGGATATTTCTAATCCTGGCTACATTATAGTTGAAAAAAAAACACTGCTGCATTCTGTATATCATGTGAAAATCATAATCATCTTTATGAAGCCCTGGCAATTCTTTTATAAGCTTTCTTCAGTTTATGATCATTCATAGGAAGTTTTCAGTTTTGACAAGTTTCACTTGATTTCATTACCATCTTATATTTTGTTATAGTTGCTATGCAGATTGCAGAGATCTGGGAAGTATAAAGTGGCCTGATACAGACTTTTAGTGATCTTCCACCTGAATCTGGACTTTTAGACTCCTAGCATATACCATAAGCAATATAAGTCAGTTCTTCCACATAGTGGGTACTCAGGTGTTGATTGAATATATTAAAAAACAACAAATAAAACTCGTTAACAGAAGCCCATAAGATATATTTGTCTCATAGTGCTAAATTCTCAAGTGGACTGGATTTTCAAGTAAGTAGTATTTTCTGATAAACTAAGGTCCCTGTCACAGAACTTTAGTATACGTAAAACATTGCTATAATATGGTCTCTAGCACTCTCTAGCACTTCTGGAAATAAAACTCAGATGGCATCTGGGATGAATATACCTTATAACATATACATGACAGCACAGCTTCAGTATAGTATCATATTTGCTAATCCATTTCCCTAAAGCATGGACAGTAATCATGGAATAATAAATTAAAGTTTTCTTTGAGTTAATTAGGAAGAGAGAAGCATTGTAATGGGGAGGGAAATAAAACAGAAAAAGCAAAAATGAAAGAGCTCTCAGGGTATAAAATTCTCCTAAATGTTCCTTTGAGACAGTGCCCCCCAAAAGGAAACATGATCGATATGGTAGTCTTGGAGAGCCATGAGTGGAAGCTTAAAATTCCTCTTACTACTATCAGCCTCCTGGCTATCCCTTATCATTGCAAGAAACTGATTCCAGCTTTTAGAGCAAAAAACTCTTATATTTCCCCCATAACTGGAGACTTAGTGACTACATACTCTAACTTCTGAAGCAATGAAACCTTCATTGGAAATTGAGGATGAAGTGGCAAGTGTTGGGAGCAAAGCTTAAGTGAAACTCCATTCTTTGTTGCCCACCTCCCACAAGAAATCATAAGGGTTAAAGTTTTCAAAAAGAATGGTAGACTCCAATAGCATTCTAGAGGGGAAGATTAGGAGGCTGTAAGACAAATACCTTTTTTTTTTTCTCATTGCTAACATTAAGAGAAATATGAATACACTGTTGTAGTTTTTTTATGAAAAGAGTCTTTCATAACTGAGTTCATTTAACAAAAGATAAATAAAAATAAATCATTGTCAGGGCAAAGCCTGCTGATGATTGCAAGGAAAAATCCTGAGACATGCTGGGGCAGTGGACTTAGTTTTATTTGAGTGTGGCTTTCAATTTATGGTGTCAGCTAAATCAGAGGGAGAGAATTTATCGGGTCTTATCAGTGAGATCCATCCCTTCTGGATGGGTGTGTTAGCCCCTCCCCCTTACGGGTTTATAGCTCCTCACTGATGCATTGTGAAAGAAAGTCGAAGTCCCCCCGGCTCTAGCTTTTATTTATGCTCTCTTTCCGAGGCTCCCTTCTCCCCCGCCAAACCAAGAGAGCCAAGCAAATGGCTCATCTTCCCCCTGCATGTCTGACCTGCCTTTCTTCTGAAGAGACTGGAGGAGAGACAGTACAAGCGCTAGCCGGTGGGCTGCCTTTACTGCAGGCTTTTCTGTGCAGGCTGTCCCTCTCCTTTAAAACCGTGCATCCCTCCCCTCCGTGGCAGCAGCAGCAGCAGCAGCAGGCTGGCTGCTTCCATTCAGCCCCATTTGGTATGCATGAACACCACTGCTCCAAGCCAGGAGGTTGCTTTCTTAAGGAGGATCGGGGGCTAAGGCAGAACCCCTTTACTAGTCTTCCAAGTTCCGGAAACCCCCTGCCCTGACGGGACTGCAGAGTGCTGAGATGACCCTGGCATGTCAGAACTGTGGGGCACCCTGGGTTTTCTAAGCATTTGCAGGTGGACAGCTCCTTTTTTTCCTGGTGGAATTGGGAAAGAGTCATGAATCAAACTGATGCTCATCGCCCACTAAACTGGACCATTAGGAAGCTGTGCCATGCCGCTTTTCTCCCATCTGTCAGGCTTCTTAAGGTATTGTAATGTACTGACTTGACCTGCTCTTTTCCTCCTTTTCGAGGTGTTTCACTTTGGGCCATTGTGGTCCTTGGAAATACTCAACTTTCCTCAGGCACTGACACACCTTTTGGAGAACACCAATGCATGCCAATCTGCTTTTACAACTCCTTGCTTTGGAGGGGTCCCTCAGTGCCACCTCTGGAGCTCTGAGGGACCTTTGATAATGACAACGTGATCACTGAGAGTAGAATGAATTGGCTTCTTTTTTTTCCTGTTAGCTCTTTCTTATAAAATGGAATTAAATGAACTTCTTTAGGAGGGGGAAAGGACTGATGTGGGAGTGAAATTTTTTACTACATTGTGAGAGGTTTCTTAAGGGTCGGTCCCAGATATTTTCCCCTGTTGCCTTTATCCTACTTGCTTTTAAATTGAACCTAGGTGAGAGAACAAAGGAGTCTACCGATCTCTTTAAAACCGTAGGTAGTTCTTGATCAGTCCCATTTAAGAGCTAACACAGAGCAAGTCTTATCAGATATTGGTGCTTCTGGTACCCTCATTTTGAGCCAAATGTTAACAATTTTGATCTCCTAAGTCAAATCAAGTTACTTCTTGCAGAAACAAAGTAGTGTGAAAGTACCGTAAAACAGATATGGTGAATGGTCCATGAGCATGACTGAATCTCCTTATTTGCATTACATAAAAGAATATTGCAGCATCTGAACTAGTGCTGCTACACAACATTCCAAGATTTAGCTCTTTTTGAGGGTACACAACATCTTAGAGAAAATGGCCCACTGCTTCAGAATAGCCTCTTTCAAATCATCTGATTCACATGGAGGAAAATTAAAATAAGAGGTACATAAAATCTAAAATCCCCCCCAACAATGAGAATATCTGTGTTGCTTATTTTTAAACAGTGTGGTTGTTTCAGCATTTCATATCCATTTTAAAACTAAGAAGACCACAAAACCTATTAATTTTTATGTTGTATTTGCATTATTTAGTGTGACATTTTTATGTAGTTAGCCCTGGCATTATAGTCACAAATGTAACATGGACATTCATGGTTTGTGAAGTTAATTCTAAACCAGTTTTCTTCTCAAAATATTTTCCCCCTGAGTATATATTCAGATTGGGTTAAATTTGATCTTGGCTATCGGTGGCAACAAGAAATAGCATTCATTCTTCAACCCATTATCTTGATTTCTCACTTCTTACAATATACTATCTTGTATTGCCCATATGCTTTCACAAAAGGCATGCACTGGAATTGCATGCCATTTTTCCAAGGACCAGAATACAAACTGTCATGGAAGGTCCTCCCTGCCAAGAGCTTTATTTGGCAGGACGAGAGGATCCTTGGAGAAAACTGCTTTTACTGCTCGGGAGTGTGTATGGTAGGGAATGAGAATGAGGCCAGGAAGAAGGGAGGGGGTGGAAAGTGTCCGTTTCTCACCAGAATAATGAGCATGTACACTAACTCGAGCCAAGTTAAAGCAATCTGATTTGGGAGAAAAAAATTACAAGATGAAATTAATAGCAAACAAATTTGCAATTGGCTAAATTCATCCTACTAATACTACCTCCACCAGAGAAGAGGCTTAGTATAGGAAGGTTTTTGAGCTTTACCAATAATAAAATTAATGATAATGTTTTTGGAGGCTAAGCCAAACTCTATGCAATCTCATTCATTCTCACCTGCTGTAAGGCTGGATGACATTTACCAGTTAAGAATATAGACTAATCATTTGTGATTTCTGTTTTGTGATTCCAAGACCAATAGAGGTCACTTTGGCGCAATTTAACTTTCTTGAGATGGATACATTGTTTCAGAATGATTTATAGTTTGGAATCAAAAGATTGGGGTCCAAGTCTTGCTCTTCATACTTTTACTAGCGAGGTGAATATGAATATACCCCTCACCCTCTCTGTGCCTCATTTTTTGTATCTATCAAATGGAGATAATAACACACATACAACTTATCCCATAGTTTTGTTATAAAGAAAGTGCCTTTTAAAACGTAGAAGACTGAGTGAATATGAGTGGTTATCAGTACTTAGGTAGTCAAAGGGGGCTGTGACATGATTACTGTGGACAGTCCTTTAATGATACAGATTGTGCTTCACCCACGGGGCCTCTTGTCCATGTCCTCCCAAAAGTTCACCTGCAGAGATTCAGTTAGCATCCTGGGGACCTACTATACTAATGATACACTTGCACTCTCTTTCACTTTCTACCCATATCTAATGTATCTCCTTTTTTGATCATCCATTTCCCTAATGGTATCTGTTATAATAATTATGTCAGTTCAATATTTGTTATTGCTATTATCCTTTATATTATATGTGGATGACATGTTATTGACCTAGTGAGACCTTATTTCTCAAATATGCAGTTAGGCAAGTTGAGTCAGAGGTCAGTGTTTCTATGGCTCATCTGCTTGTATGATTTCAAAATCCATTTATTTTGGGCACGTCATTTAAAACAAGCAAAATTAAGCTGTATAGCATGAGTCATTTTAGTTAAATTTAAAACTATACATTTGACTTTGAAATAAAATGAAAGTGATGCATAAAACATAAATGACAAACCATTTACCATTTGCTGAGAAATCAAAAATAGAATCCATACACTAATTTTTAAAAAAATTAAGTATTTATTAAGCACTATCTATGTGTTAGGTATAGCAGATACAATGGAATTATCCTTACTGATATAATTATCCCTACTTATATTCTACTGTAGGAAACTAGATACGCAGATAAAGATATACACACACATACATACACACAACTTATATGTATGTATGTATATATATTATATAATTATATATAACATGTATATGTGTGTATATATATACATACATATATACATACACACAATTTGGGGTAGGAATGTATATGTATACAAACACATATACATATATACTATATGTATATCGATATGCATATATACCTACATATGTACATATATGCAGAATAAATATAAAGACATTAAATACCACATAGTTCAAGGAGGGTGCTAGAATCTGAGGGGATAAGGAAAGACTTCATTAAAATAATAATAGCTAACATTAATATAGTGTTTGCCAAGCAGTTTACATGTATTTTCTCATTTTATCTTCTCAACAATGCTGTGAAACATTATTCCTATTTTATAGATGAGGAAACTGAGAATTAAAGAGGTAAAATGACTTGCCAGGGTCAAACAACTAGTAAAATGTCTGAGGTAGGATTCTAACCCAGATCTTGCTATCTCCAGGTGAAGTGCTCTATTCATTATGCCATGCTGCTTCTCAAATAAATTGCAATAATATCTCATTTCCTTTGATGACCACTTCCAATTTTTCCCCTCTTCTCCTTCTCTGAGATGGAAGGGGGCAGAGAGGGGAGGGATAGTACAGCATAGTTACCATAAAACAAGCCTTAAAACCAGGAACACCTGAGTTCAAGTCCCACTCTATGTGCCCTTGGGCAAGTCACTTGACCTCTTACTTTTCTAGGTAACTCTAGAGGTTAGAGGTGTCCATCTGCCTTGATGAAGGAATTTTGCTCAAAATCACTGTATGTGTATTTGTTTAAACTATTGCAGCTTAAAACTGCTTTAAAACTTTTGAGATAGCCTGTATATGAATGTATTTATATAATTGATAATGATTGAAATTAGAGTAAAGGACTGTGCTGGATGAATCTTTGTTGTCCATGATTGACTGACCAGTTAAAATTTAAGATGTTCTATGTTGCTGAATGTCTGAGCAAAAGATAAGTAGGTAACAGAGAAAAGAGGATAAAAATCTCCATGGAAATCTTATTGCAATATGTCATCATGATGTGGCAGTGACCCTGAGTACCTTAGGCGGGTGCCAATGGAGAATAAGAAGGTCTGGCATCTCATACAAAGTTGGAAAAGCTTTGAGTAAGGGCCCAGCAACAGGCTGTCATCCAAAGATCAGTCTAGCAAAGTTCCGAATGGCTTAGTCCCAGAGTCAACCATTTGCTGAGAACTGTCAGAGCTTTCCTCTGTCTATACTCCTGGAGAACCCAGGTTCACCCGAACCCCACGATGAAGAATCAGAGAGGAACATTGGAGCTGCTCACCACCTCTTCTGTTCAGTAGATCTATTAACCATCTGGGCATCTAGGACTTTGTGGAAAATGGCTAAATGAACTTGAACAATTCAATGATTCAACAGGTAATATTTCTTCACTTCCCTGGTACTGCTTTGACCCAAAGTCTATTTTTCAGGTACCTGGTTTGCCAGTAGATACAAAACAGGACATGATGGCTTGATTTGATTTAGTTAAACTAAGTAACTCACAAATACCGAAAGGCTAGACTCCATCCAACTTTATTTCTGATGCTTTTCTTCCAGACATGCCTGTCTTTTCCAAGTTTAACAAAACTGTCATGTTAAGAAATAGCTTTATAATCTATTTTCTTAGTTTCTCATCCTCTGATAGAGAAAAGTGGTTCTCCTGAAAAATAGGAATACTTCATTTGAAGAATAATTTAAACTCATTCACTTTGGGGCTATACTTAAAAGTTCATTCTGTAACTAGAAATTTTTGGTTTTGTATTTTATACTTTTTTTACTTCCATCTCAAATTTTGAATTTGATTATGTTTAGAAATAACATTTAAATGTGAATTCCTGAAAATGTACATTCTGCTGGCAAAAGGGTAGAGGCTGTTTTGGGATGAATAGTTTTTAAAAATAGAACCCTGCTGATTTTTTTTCTTTTCTGTTTGCCTTTTACATCTGTCTCATGAGTTGGAGGATTTATTTTTACTATAAATGCCAAACAATAGAGTTTATTTTAATAAGAGACTATTCTTAGCATTTTTCATATTAATGCCATTCATTTCTGATATTCTAGAGTTGTTAATATATACAAGGTTATTGTTGTTATTGTTGTTCAACCAAGAAGATTTAATATATCTATTATGAGAGAAAAAGTCCCTGCCCTTATAGAGCTTGCATTCTATTGGGGAAGATCGCATATACATGAATATGT